CCAAAAAAGGTCCATCTATAAATATATTTTTATTCATTTTTTAATTTTTTTAAACTTTATTTTAAAACTCTTCCCCTCACTCTATATATTATTTTTTGAATGGCGTTAACCTGCTGAAGTTTTGCCAGAAGGGTGACTGGCTGCGTTTCGGTTCGGTGAACTCATAGACCTGTGGTTGGGCTATGCCATCAGTTACCAAGTATTGTCCCTGATTTAGTGGCTCCTGGGGTGGTGGGTATGTTGGAGGAACTGATCGGGAGTAGCCGACACCTGGATGGGAGGTGGAGAAGAAAGGAGAGGGAAGAAAAATGAGGAAGGAGAAGAAAAAGAAGTCCATCTTAGTGCAAGGATTAAATGGGAACACAAATTCATCTTCCTCAATTTCCCAAAACTGGACATTAAGGGAGGCAGGAGGATCTGGTGCGGTTACTTTCTCTCTTCCTGTGGGCAGTTCCTTGAAGAAGTCATGACCTTTGAACGTTGCTTTTTCAAAGAAATGCCGACCCAACAAAGAGGCCCCTGCCAGACGCAAAGCCCACTTTTGGACCCCAATATCCCATTAAACCTTGATGATGACCCACGGCCCCTCCAAAAGTTGCCAATCTAATGTGACCAAGGTGGTGAATTAGACAAGCAAATATGAGATACAGGTAGTCCTCGACTTATTACCACAATCAAGCCAAAATTTTTGCTGCTAAGCAAGACATTTCTTAACTAGACTTTGCCCCATTTTACAATCTTTCTTTCCACAGTTGTTAAGTGAATCACTGCAACTGTTAAGTTAGTAACTTGGTTGTTAGATTTTTTTCATATTTTACAATATTTCTGTACATATCAAGGTATTCATTAATCAATGACTGACAGTTGATAAATATAAAATATAAGGTAGATTTTTCTCCCCATCTTCTTCCAGCTCTTCTCTTTTAGTTTGTATTTTTAGTTCATTTGGAGTCGTCACTTTTCTTTTTTAAAGTTTAAAGTTTTTTGTCATTTGTGTAAATAAATAGAACATAGAATCATGGGCCTGGGACCTCAGAGGTCATCTAGTTCAACTTCTTGCAATAGAAGTTAAAACTATCCTGTTGAATCAGGCTAAAAAAAACCTTCACGTGTTTTTCATTATGTCCCCAGAGTGGACATCGAGTCTGCCCGTTGAGGTTTGGGTGGTTGTATTTCCTTTTTAATTTATTTAGGTTTTCATTTATTTATTTTATTATTTGTATATTTCTGTTATTTATATACAGGCGCAGGCTTCCAATCTTGAGAAAGCCTAACCTAGAATGACGGATCTTCCTCCTTTGAGAGAGTGCAGCAGTGGGACTGGAAAATATCTTCAAGAAAAGATCTTTTCTGGGAAGGGATGAGGACTCCTGCCTTGAGCAAAGAATTGGACTCACAGACCTCCAACAGTTCCCTCCAACCCTATGACTCTACGAAACAGAGATTCACCCACAATCCAGTTAGGGAATCTGCCTTGCCATGCAACTCCAGAAGAGGAAGCATTGCAAGATTGTACGGTATACTGGTCGTCCTTGACTTATGACCACAAAGCCCAAAGTTTCGATTGCTAAGTGAAACATTTGTTAAGTGAGTTTTCTCCATTTTATGACTTTTCTTGCCACAGTTGTTAAGTGAATCACCACTGGTGTTGTTAGTAACACAGTTGCTAAGTGAATCTGGCTTCCTCATTGACTTCGCTTGTCAGAAGGTCACAAAAGGGGATCACGTGATCCAGGACACAATGACCGTCATAAACAGGAGTCAGTTTCCAAGCACCTGAATTTTGATCACATGACATGGGGGTGCTGAAAGGGTCACAAATGTGAAAAATGGTCATAAGTCACTCTTTTCAGTGCTGCTGTAACTTTGAATGGTCACTAGATGAATTGTAAGTCAAGGACCACCTGTATTACCCCTGCAGTGAAGTCTCCCAAGACAGACAGAATAACAGAGACACCCTTAAGCTTCCAAATTTCTACAGCTGCAGTGAAAACACATCAACAGTTGGCCAGTCTGGACTAATGTGATTCATGGATTATTTTTTTCTTTCTGGCTTTATTTTCTTTGATATGCTGATCTTTGCTCATCATCATATATTTGATTTGTCCTTAATCATTTCCCTATTCATGACTTCAATTCCAAAATCTTTAACTTTCTACTTTTGAATTCACCAAAATGGAAATGAGAAGAATGGTTTCCTGAAAGGCAATTTCCAATTCTTCAGAAACAGCCAGGGCTGCACAAGGAAGGGATGGGAAGAGGGTGGTGAGAGAAATCAATTAATTTAAATTCAAAGAAGTCTAGTTCAATAAGACACCACCATTTTCCAAGGGGTCCACAGAGATATCAAGATAATCAGGGAGAATTGCGAAGTTAAGCAGATAAATGCAATTAAGTACTCAATATTTCTCTAGAT